GGAATGGATCTTTTTGCTTTAAAACGAAGTTGATAATTTAATTTTAAGCATGGGAAGATCGTCTGAAGCTGGAATTAATGCTACTGGAGGAAACAACACAGTTGATGTAGATTTTTAAGTTTCTTACTGACTTTTATGTTAAAAATTTCTATTAAATTAGTGAATTTCTTAACTTTTGTTTGATTACTTCATCATAGAAAAATTATGTTACACTGAAATTAAAATGAAATAATTGCTGATGATTCAGACATTATAACCGATATGCCATTTTTAACTTCCAATTAAAATTGATGTATTTATAAAAAAAAATTGTGTTACTTAGACATTTTTGATGTGTTTAAAAATCCTAAATTTAGTCATCTAAACGTATCAAAATCAAAAGTCCACAATTTTTACTCAAAATGTTGGAGTACTTTAACATAGAAAAATTAAAAAAACTAGTTATTGTGTTCCACATGTACAAGAACGAGCTTCTTGTGTCTTGAAAATCAGTTTAAGCAATGTAAAACGAATACAAAGAAAAATCAAGGTGAAATTACCGATCACAACACCTGGACAGTTGCATAAAATAGCACAGGAAATGACCATCGCGACGAAGAAAATAAAGTGGAGATGAATTTTAGTTATGCAATGACAACAAACATGTAAAATACTGTTCTGAAGCTATGTACTTGTGGCATTGTTAAAGAATTAGTATTTAACTCTGGGAAATAAGCCAACAATTAGAAGGTTAAGTACATACTGGACTGTTTATTCAATTTCCACCTGTCGGAATCCATTCTCAAATACAAAACGGTGGGGGGGGGGGTGGGGGAGGGGGGGGGGGAGTTGTGGCTGAGTAAATTTACTATTGTTTGAATTTGAGAACGATTTCCGAAGTGGAAATTGAAACGTCAAATCAACGTAACTTTAACCTTTAATTGTGGCTTATTCCCAGTGAAAAATAGGAATGACTTCATCTAAATAAAATAGGTAAAAATTCGTAGACTGAGTTAGAAACAACTAATTTGAGCCAATATTAAAATGAAAAGAAAGAAACCAAAATATCGGAGAAGACTACAAAAAATATAATGGTGAGTACTTCTCTTAGGAAAAAGCTCAAGAAAGAACTTAATAATAATAAATAGAGTTGATTGTGAGCAAAGTTTAAAGTATAGTAAGAAAGCATCGAGCCATTCATTTAGCAAAAGCAAGATGCAAAAAGTATCGAAAGCTGTAGAATGAACATCTTCTTCTTAAGTGCGTCTCCCTATGGAGGTTGGCAATCATAATGGCTATTTTTATTTTAGGAACTTGCTGCTTCAAAACAAAACAATCGATCTGCATTGGTACCAATCACGATAAATCTTGTAACCGATGAGTTCTGCCTTCGCCAACAGATCTTCTTCCTTTGAATCTTTCCCTGTATTTCAGTCTCAAAATTTCTGTTTTGGTCCCCCCTCATCATCGTTGGCCTAGGTAATCCAGTTTTCTTGGTTTGTATAGTGGTGATTAGTTCTGTTTCTTTACCACCCCTGTCCAGTACTTCTTTATTTGTAATTTTGTTCTATCATATAGATGAAGCATACGTACAATACTTAAAGGGAGCTATATCAAAAAGAAGAATTAGATTTTGAAATGAATGAAGAGAACTGGACGTAGATGCGTAGCTGAAAAGATAGGCCTTATTATGATTTAACAGCAAGTGACCAAAACCATAACAAATCACATGATGAAAGACATCACAAAGAGAAATCGGACAAGATGAAATAGAACAATGTTCAGGATATAGTTATATCTTCGGTTCAAACTACCACAAACTTAAACAAAGAGAACCACAACAGCAGAGTTAAAGAGGGAACGAGTGTAGACTGGCGATGGGCGGCATATTGGCAAGACTTATGCTTACATTCTTAAAACCAAAAGATATCCCACAGCTTTTCTTACAGCCGCACAGTATACCAATCAAGGCGATGCTACCCTGTTCTTACTTATCGGTTTCCCAAACGTGGAACATGCTACAAAAGCAAACAATGGACCAAAAATCATAAAAAGCCCAAAGAGCAATGGAAC